TGCGTCTCCGTGCCAGGCGGTGTGGCTCCGGCGCGCTCAGGGCTCCGGTCCCTGGCCCTGTCCTCACCTGTGTCACGTGCGCGGCCCTTCCCTCCCCCACGTCAGCGCCTAGTTTGAGGCAGGGGTACGGGGGGCTGTACTACGGTGCTTTCTGGTGTGAGAGCATGGAGACAAGAAAACCCCACGAATAGAAAAGGTGTGAAGACCGCGGCGGTGACTAAGCGCCGCCTCTCACTCCTCCCACCGTCTCTCCAGCACCCGGGGAGCCCGGGCTGGGGCCAGCGGGAAGGGAACCTGAGTCTCAGTGCAGGCGCTGGGTGGATTGTGCTTGGGTAGACAGAGGCAGTTTCTGGGGGAAACCAGACTGAGGCTCACGGCAGCTTCTGCCTGCCCTGAGACCCCCGAACCACCAGTCCTCACCGGTCCCACCGAATGTCAGAGCGTCGGGCCACGGCCGTGGGGCCACAGGCAGCGCTGCAGGTGTCCGGGCCCAGGCCTGACACACGGATTCGGTAGCGTTTATCTGCCGGGTCGCTCCGAGGGAAAATCATGCCCTCCTGCTTCTGGCAGGTGAACGGAGACCCCCGGGGCATAAGCGACTTCCTGGAGGCTCTACAGTGAGTCAGACACCCTGGAGTCCTGACTCTATGCCCAGGCCTTTACTCACCAGACCCTGCTCCTCGCCGTTGTAAATCGTTGGCATCCGAACTGCTGAACAGTCAGAGTTGTCACAGGTTTGGGGGAGGGGTTCGTGAGCGGAGTCAAGACAGCGCTTTGGGTTTCCAGCTCCCGGCATCTTCTACCACGAGTTCTAAGGCTTTTTCCTGCTTTTTGTGGTCCACACCAGTCCAACTGACTCGGGCATCCAGTAGGTCCTCGCCTATCTAAAAGTTCCCTCTGCTTCCTAGACAGTAGAACTTCAAAGGCATTTTGGGGGCAATCCTGGGAGAACCCCAAAGGACTAGACTGGAGAGATTGATTTTTGCCATCATAAAAAGAGAAAGTTTTAAAATTAGGCAAAATTTGTGAGAAAGCAAAAATGAGATTCAAGGTGAAGCACTGGAAGTTCAAATCTTGCCTGGGAAAGGCATCTTCCCCGGGAAAGGCATCTTCCCCACACACAATTGTTCCATCAGTTCATCTGGAGACTTATTTTTATCTTGTCGATAGGAAAATGGCAAACCTCTAACAGAAATGACTGTGTGCTACTTGTCTCTGCTTCTCCCCCCACAGTCCTTCCTTCAGTTAATTCAATGACTCAGCAGACCGATCCGTCCCTCTTCAGATTCCAGCTTGTTAGAGGCAGGTTTCCAGAGCGAGCTCGTTAGTGACAAGGAGCTGGGCATTTTCATGGATCCTGAAACCAAGCCTACCATGCAGAATCACGCTCCCATCAGCAAAGAAAGAGGTGGGCTAAAATAGAGTTGCGTGTGATGTGTGTGTGAGGATTTAGAGATGAGAAAAGAGGGGAGAAGTGCTCAAGCGGGTAAAACCTTTAAGTGACTGCGCATTCATGCCTGCGGGTTGGAAGGAGCTGTCTGCCTTTACAGTGTGGACGTATGGGCTTATCGATGCCCCTTCAAAAAACACACTTCTGGGGCCGGCAGGTGGCGTGGTGGATTCCCATATGGCTGACCAGGGTTCGAGTGCTGGACCCGGCAGCTTGCTTTCTCCCTTTCTCTCTCTCTCTCTCTGGTTAAATTAAAATAATAATAATAGTAACAATAAATGAAAATAACTAATTCTTTAGAAACACACACACACACACACACACACTTCTGAGGTACTATCTCATAGACCAGTGCCATCCAGCAGAACTTTGCGTGAAGAGGGACATGTTCTGTGTCTCCTCTATCCAGTAGTCACCATAGCCTTGTGTGGATACTGAGCCCTTGAAATGTCACAGATTGTTTGAAGAACTACATTTTTTTTATAAAAAGAATTATTTTTGGAGGGGCCGGCAGGTGGCATGGTAGTTAAGGTTCGCTAGATTCCCACATAGCTGACCGAGATTTGTCACGGACCTGGTGGCTTTCTTTCTCTCTCTCTCTCTCTCTCCCTCTCTCTCCCTCTCTTTGTCTCTCTCACTCTGTCCCTCTCTGATCAAATTGAATAAATAAATCAAGTTAAATAAAATAACTTTTTTTTTTTGGAGAGGACTTTTGTTATAGGGCGCATGCGCTCATCAGAAAGACAGAGAAAGACAGACAGACAGAAAGCAAGAAATCACCCCCTACGGGGGATGGCCACGCCACAACCTCTTCTCCTCCATTCTCCTCTTGGGATCTTGGGCATGCACGCACACGCTCCCGACGTGATATTAAGCCACCGGGTCCAAGACTCGAACCACGGCCGACTACATGAGAGTCCAGTGATATAGCCATTACGCCAACTGCTGGTAATTCTTTTAAAAAAATTATTTTGGGACTAGCAGATGGCATGGTGGTTAAGGCACTGGACACACCCACATGGCTGAACACAGTTCAATTTCAGACCTGGTGGCTTGCTTGCTCACTTTATCTCTCTCTCTGGCCAAATTAAAAAATAAGTGAATGAATAAACAAACAAAATAATTCTTTTTAAAAAGAAATTATTTTATTTTAAATAAAATTATTTTATTCTGTTTCTCCTTGTGGGAGTCCAGGGCCCTTAACCACCACACCACCTGCTGTCCCAAAGAAGAACTTAATTTTTTACTTTATTTTCTTTTAATCAATTTAAATTCAAATAACCACATGTAGCTACTGACTACATCATTGTACAGCACATTTCTAGATATAAATATGTGCTTTTTTTTTCCCTATAGAGTGTGCACACTCACCAGACAGAAATAGATAGAAAAAAATGAGAAATCATTCCCTAGGGGGGATGGCCATGCCACAATCCCTTGTCCTCATTCTCCTCTCAGGATTTTGGGCATGCAAGCACACATGCCTGGCTTGATCTTGTTTTAAGAATTATTTTACTTTATCCATTTATTTATTTATTTCAGTTTAACTAGAGAGGGACAGAGCAAGCGAAAGAATGAGAAAGCAAGCCGCCAGGTCCAGGACTCCAACCACAGTCGGCCATGTGGGAGCCCAACGCCTTTAACCACTACACCACCTGCTGGCCCTACCTGGCTTGATTTTCAAGCCACCAGGTCTGGGATTCAAGCTGCACAGCCCGCCATGTGGAATCCAATGCCTCAACCTCCACACCACCAGCCGGCCATGTGCCTTTCTTTGTAGGTGTCAATCATTTTAAATGTAGACAGAGGTCGCCTGCAGGAAAGTACAACTTGTTTGTGCCCAGGGAGAGTTTCAGTCCTGACTACAACTAAACAGCGGTGCTTTGGAGCAGCTCAGCTTCTGTGCAGAATGAGAGCTGATCTGATTAGACACAGTAAGTAGTGGGTGGGAACTTCTACCCAGCTTAGCTTCTGATGTCTGCCTTTCCAAAAATACTCTCCCTAACTGCTTGGACAGTGACTGCTCCTTAGTCACACTTTTATGGGCCCCTCAGAAGAATATTTGTAGCTTCCATTCGTATCATCGTCTTTGGTAAACACATTAGCAACAGCTTTGATATATTGGTCAGAATTGGGGAACAGAGCAGACCAAGGCTCCCCCCTCTACAGAAGTTTGATTTCAGGGTGCCATCAGGTTTGGTTGTTCAATATGTTTTGAAGGCCTGCTTCCTAGCAACTATAATTCCAGATTATATGCCATTGATGCCTATAAAAGTGCAAATCCCTGGGGACCAGCAGGTGGCATGGTGGTTAAGACACTGGACACTTCCACATGGCCCACCACGGTTCAAGTGTTGGACCTGGTGGCTTGCTTTCTCACTCTTTCTCTGTCTCTCTCTGGACAAATTAAAATAAATAAATGAATAAATAAAATTAAATATTCTTTTTTAAAAAAGTACAAATCTCCTGAGAGTAAATCTTTTTTAATAATTATTTTATTTTTTATTTTATTCATCATCATTATTTACTTTTTAAAAATTTTATTGAAGTTGACTAGGGAGAGACAGAGAGAGAAGGAAAGTGAGAAAGCAAGCTGCCAGGTCCAGAACTTAAACCACACACAGTCAGCCATGTGGGAGTCCAGCTGCCTTAATCACCACACCAACTGCCAGCTCCAATAATTATTTTATTTAACTTTATTTGTTTATTTATTTATTTAAATTTGACCAGAGAGTCATAAAGTGAGAGAGAGAAAGAGAGGTAGTGAGAAAGCAAGCCACCAGGTCCAGGACTCGAACCGTGGTGGCCCATGTGGGAGTGTCCAGTACCTTAATCACCATGTCAGTTGCCAACCCAGAGGGAAGTAAATCTTTAAGCAACTATCCTTTGGCAGATTTGAAAGGGACAGTAGACACCAGGTATCTGGGAGAAAACTCTAGGAATGTGGAAAAGGTAAAAGAACAAAAAGTCTCAAAACACATTTTATCTACTATGAAAATTTACTTGTGCTATTTTTTTTTTTTTGAGAGGATTTTGCCATAGGGTGCATGCACTCATCATAAAGATGAGAGAGACAGAGAGACAGAAAGCGAGAAATCACACACCCCCCCAGGGGGGATGGCCACACCGCAATCCCTTCTCCATTCTCCTCTCGGGATTTTGGGCACGCATGCACACGCGCCTGGCGTGAATTTAAGCCAGACTATTACAAGGATTAACTAGATTTTATTACATGTAAAATACTTTGAACGTCTACTTTTAGAGTTTTATCCATTTTTTTTCCAATAATAAATGTCACATTACAAAAAAAAAAGGAAAAATCATCAGTCACCTTAAGTTATCATACAACAAAACAACAATGAACCACTGAGTTTTTTCCTGGCCTTTTAAATTTTTTTAAAGAATTATTGGGACCAGCAGTTAGTGTAATGGCTATGTCACTGGACTCCCACGTAGTCGATCACAGTTCAAGTCCTGGACCCGGTAGCTTAAACTCACACTGGGCGCGTGTGCGTGCGTCCCCAAGATCCCAAGAGGAGAATGGAGAAGGGATTGCAGTGTGGCCATCTCCCCTGGGGAGTGATTTCTCGTTTTTTGTCTCTCTGTCTCTCTCTGTCTGGCAAGCGCACGTGCCCTATAGCAAAAACCTCTCCAAAAAAAAAAAAAAGATTTTATTTATTGTCTTTTAATTTGCTAAAGGACATATGTGCTCACCAGAGAGAAACAGAAAGAGATGGAAAGTGAGAAAGTAAGCAGCCTTGTCTTGGGCCATAGTCTGCCATGTGGGAGCACAACACCGTAACCACCACGCCACTTGCTGGTCCCCCTTTTATAAGTTTTTTAATCTTTTTGCCATAGGGCGGGCACCACTACGCCCTTTCTTTTTGCTTTGCTTTTCTTTGTTTTGGCTTATAAAGAAATAGGAGTTTATTAACTCACAGTTCTGGCAGCTGCAAGTTTTTAAATCTTTTTAAGAAATGTATTTCTTCCATGAATGACAGAAAGAGACAAAGAGATAGCTCCCCAACAGAGGTGATGCCACGATCCACCCCCAGCCTCAGCCAGCCCTGGATTCTAGGCATATGCACATACCCAGAGTACTCAGGGAGGTCTCCAGACATGAACCCAAAACCTTCCCATGTGAGTAGTCAGCCTCACAGAAAATCACATTTAACATCTGTGCCACTGTCCAGTCCCCTCTGATCTTTTTTCCATGCAAGACTTTTAAGTTTCCTTTACATACTTATAAGCAGAGCATACATACAGTTTTGTACCCCGACAAGCTTCCTGAGCTCGGCATTACATAAGAGAAAATGACAGCATGTCTAATATAAGTAGTTAATTTAAAATCTGCACAATTCTGCCTTTAGTTCAATCCTAGGGCTGTGGTAATGAAGCAGTGATGAGAATACCAAGATAAACATCCTTGCAAAATGCACATCTGTCTGTCTGCACATGTGTTGTCTTTCAGATCTTCAGTGTCCCTCTGCAAGACTTCAGC